TTTAATCCAGGCCGTGTAGTGTCTTCATCAGGGCAGGCCAACTATTTTTCTGGACGCCCGTCATCTCAACCAAAGCCCTGGTGGAACAGCTCCATTTTACTGACCCTGTGGAATGGCAGAAGGTCCTGCAGTGCCCTGATCTCATGCAGGACCACGTTCCGCCAGGGCAGAAAAGGCCCTGGTTCTGGTTGAGGCTAAATGGATGTCCCTTATACCTAGCTTATAAAGGTAAAGGGTAAAGGTTCCCTTGCTCGAAAGCCAGTCGAGTCCGACTCTAGGGTTGCGGTGCTCATCTCCGTTTCAAAGCCGAAGAGCCAGCGCTGTCCGAAGACGTTTCCATGGTCATGTGGCCGGCATGACTAAACACCAAGGCGCACGGAACGCTGTTACCTTCCCACCGAAGTGGTACCTATTTATCTACTTGCAATTTCTTGCTTTCGAACTGCTAGGTTGGCAGGAGCTGGAACTAGAGATGGGAGCTCACTCCGTCATGCGGCACACTCGGGTCTCGAACTGCTGAACTACTGACCTTCCACAGCCTGCAGTTCAGCGTCTTAACCACTTGAGCCACCGCAGCTCCTTTACCTAGCTTATACCTAGACTAAAACTTTGTTGGTCTTAAAGGTGCCACTGGACTCAAATGTTGTCCTGCCCACTTGCTTGGAGCCTTGATTGGGAATCATGGTGGGGAAGCTTCCTTGGCACACTTTTCATGGGAAAAGCAGAACACACCGTTCCGTTTCTATGACAAATAATCAGCGTCCTTGTGCCATTCATGCTATAGGGGAACAGCCACTGTTGGCAGACCACTGCTACGGGTACACCATTCTTAAGCGGACATTTAAACTGTGGATGACAAACTCAGATCTTTTTTTAAAAAACCACACAAATGTACAAAGGAACCTGGCTCAATTAGGATAACACTGGCATGCCTCAACAACAGCATCAGCCATGGGAAGGGCAAAATTACCCAAAGTCTTCAAAAGGAAAAAAAAATGGCTCTCAAGGGTCTAGCGTCAGAGGCTGGGTGCAGGGGAGGGAGGGAGTGACGGAATGTATTGTATTCAAAATGGGAGTTCCTTGACAGCAGAGCGAGAAATTTTGAACAATCCTGCAAATGTAAGATTGCCGTTCTGTACAGGCAGGGTCGCCGACTCTGGCTTGGGAAATTCCCGGCAATTTGGGGGTGGAGCCTGGAGAGGGCGGGGTTTGGGGAGAGGCGGGATCTCAGCGAGATATAATACCATACAGCCCACCCTCCAAAACAGCCATTTTCTACTGAGGAACTGGTCTCTGTGGTCTGAAGATCAGGTGTAATTCTGGGAGGTCTCCAGACCCCATCTGGAGGCTGGTAGCCTTAGCCGCAGGGCAGGTGAAGAAGAAGAAGAAGAAGAAGAGGAGGAGGAGGAGGAGATTGGATTTATACCCCGCCCTTCACTAACCAAAGGAGTCTCAGAGTGGCTTACAATCTCCTTTCCCTTCCCCTCAACACAACAGACACCCTGTGAGGTAGGTGGGGCTGAGAGAGCTCTTTCCAGAACTGCTCCTGAGAGAACAGCTCTCACAGAACTATGGCTTGCCCAAAGTCATCCAGCAGCTGCAAGTGGAGGAGTGGGGAATCAAACCCGGTTCTCCCAGATTAGAGTCCACGCACTGAACTACTACACCAAACTAGAAGAGAAAATGTATATAACTAATCAGATCAAATCAAGCCTGAACTCCCCCTAGGAGCTAAAACGACTGAGCTGAGGTTATCTAACTTTGGTCACATTGTGAGAAGACAAGAACCACTGGAAAAGACAACGATGCTAAGAAAAGTTGAAGGAAGCAGGAAAAGAGGAAGGCTCAACTGGAGATGGATGGACTCAATAACGGAAGCCACAAGGGCCCTCACAGCACACAAGGCCTGAGCGTGGCTCTTAATAACAGGACAGTTTGGAGGTCATTAATTCATAGAGCTGCCATAAGTCAGAAGCCTCAGTTGGCTCCGGCCAACTTGTCCTATCTTTATTGTCTTTTCTAGTGACTCCACCGCTACAGTACAGCAATTATTCACGAGTGGATTTTCTCGTCCACATAGGAAAACATAGTTGCAAACTATTGCTAAAGAGTAGTATCTGGCGACGTGTGGAAGCAGCCCTGGTCATAGAATCCTACTCAGGTCTAATCAGTAGGGCCTACTCCCCAGGAAAGTGTTCTTAGGGAAGCACTGCTGAAAGCCTGCACACCCTGCCAACTTTCTCACACCGATCTGGAGCCCCAATCTTCCACAGTTTGAGCAGCCTTTTTTGTCTGAGAACTGATCTTCCTCATACAAAAGGATATATATAATATAGCTGAGGAGATTTGGGATATATGATTGCTGTCACTGCTACTAGAATAGAATCATAGAGTTGGAAGGGACCTCCAGGGTCATCTAGTCCAACCCACTACACAATGCAGGAAATTCACACATACCTCCCCCCTCCACACCCCCAGCGACCCCCGTTCCATGCCCAGAAGATGGCAAAAAAACCCTCCAGGATCCCCAGCCAAACTGCCCTGGAGAAAAATGGCTTCCTGATCCCAAAGTGGCGATCAGCATTTCCCTGGGCATGTAAGAAACGGCCACAAGAACTAAGCACTGATGCAGCCCTTCCTGCCCTCCCTCTCATGATTTGCCCAAGTTCACAGAATCAGCATTGCCATCAGATGGCCATCTAGCCTCTGTTTGAAAACCTCCAAAGGAGAACCCACCACCTCCCGAGGAAGCCTGTTCCGCCGAGGAGCCGCTCTAACTGTCAGGAAGTTCTTCCTCATGTTTAGCCAAAAACTCTTCTGATTTAATTTCAACCCGTTGGTTCTGGTCCGACCTTCTGGGGCAACAGAAAACAATTCCACACCATCCTCCAGATGACAGCCCTTCGAGTACTTGAAGATGGTTACCATATCACCTTCTTTTCTGAACAAAGCCAACAGGACTGTGATGCTAAACCCAAAGCCAGTCGGGGCGACAAAAAGGCTTATGACAGAATGTTTCCGCCCAGATGCCAGGGAGAGAGAGAGTGGGTGACCCCCTGGAATGCGTGTTAGACGGGCCCGCCTCATTCCCACAGTGCTGTCAGTGCAATTCTCGTGTGAGGTGTGTGTGGGGGGGAATCACCAAAAGATCACTGAAGCGGGGAGTGTGGGAAACACTGGGCGAGAGGAGGGAGGAGAAAACGTTTGCGAAATGCCACCTTCCCTCGTTTCCACTCAGCTGTAGTAATTAATACACACATTACATGCTTTATGAAGGGTAACACGCACATTGCTTCAAATTACTGTAATGGATATTGTGCTCTGCTCCTCGTAGACAATTCCATTATGGAAACATGAAATGGCGTTTAGGCCGCTGAGGGGGAAGAAAAACCGAAAGAAGAAAACAAAGCATTTGGGAAGGGTGTTTTTTTTGTGGTTTTTTTAAAGTGTGTCCTCAGGAAGGTCCAAATCTTGCAGGCGTGTGATTTGCTTCAATACAGGATTGCCAACTTCGGGTTTGGAAAGACCTGGAGATTTTAAAGGGGGAGGGGGCAGGGAGAATGGGATTTAGGGAGGGGAGGGAAGTTGGCAGGGTATAAAGCCTTGAAATCCGCCTTCCAAGGCAGCCATTTTCTGCAGGAGAAGTGGAATAAATGTTTTGAATAGATAAATAAATAAGCAATTTTTGTTCACTGGAGATCAGGTGTCATTCCAGACGATCTCCAGCCCCCACCTGGAGGTTGGCAACTCTACTTTAATGCAATTAAAATATTTGTTGCTACACTTTTATCCCCATACTTCATACAAACACTTGTAATCTTCCCTAGCAAAGAAAGGAAGAATTACAGCCCCCCCCAATAAGATCGCTACCGAAAAAGCTAAGCTTTAGGTTCACTGCAAATAATACACAGTGGTATATTCTTGTGCTTATTTTCAAAAGCTACCATAAGGCAGATTCGGCGATACTGTGAAGTCTACTAAGTCTGTCCTCGGAAAATAAAACAAAATCCCAGCGGCACCTTAAAGACGACCTACATTCATGAGCTTTCGTGAGCCCCTTATCTCAGGAAGTAATCTGTCACTCACGAACGCTCGTACAGAAATAAAGGTCGCCCTGACATAGACCGGGCAAGCTCGATCTCGTCAGATATCGGAAGCTAAGCAGGGCCGACCCTGGCAAGTATTTGGATGGGAGACTTCCAAGGAATACCAGGGCCGGGAGGCAGAGGCAGGCCATCGAACCACTTATCTCAACGTCCTCCATGCCCCAGTAGGGGTCGCCAGAGGTCGCCATGACTTCCAGGCACGGGCGTGTGCACACACACACACACAAATGTAAAAATACCAAAAAAAGAAAAAAGAGAGAAAAGTCGATAGTTTTAGGTGGGTAGCCATGTTGGTCTGCAACAGAGGAGCAAGGTTTGAGGCCGGTAGCACACATGAACACACAAGAAGCTGCCTTATATACAGAATCAGACCTTTGCTCCATCAGGATCAGTATTGCCTACCCAGACTGGCTGCAGCTGCCCAGCATCTATAAGCAGAGGTCTTTCACATCGCCTACTGCCTGGTCCTTTGAACTGGAGAGTCTGGGGATTGAACTTGGGACCTTCTGCGCGCCAAACAGAGACCAACAAGATTTTTCAGGGCGAAAGCTTTCGAGAGCCAAAGCTTTCTTGACGAAGGGAGCTCTGACGCTCAAAAGCTTATGCCCTGAAACTCTTGTTGGTCTTTCAGGTGCCACTAGATTTAGATTCAGATTTATCTATCGTTTGGACTATTCTTGTTTTAATTTATACTCCACCTTTCCCGTGGGGACTCAAGGCAGACTACTAGTACAATCAAAACTTGCAGCCAATCAGGGAGCAGATTACAAAATCAGATAACATCACTCAATCAGGAGACAGATTGCTGGAGAGAACCAGCCGCACAGAACTGTGCATCGGAAATAAAACCGCCCAATATTGCACGCGCTCTGCTTGTTCCCAAAATACTCTTACCTTATGTTCTTTATAAATCCCGAGTTCTTTCTCCTTTGCTATCCTCGCTTCTTTTTCTGGAACGGGAAAGAAACAGAGAAGGAGCATGACGGCACAGGTGTAATCCAGATGATATTCTGGAAGGCTATTAACTTTTTTCCCCCCTGGTTGTCAGCTATCTGACTGGTTAAACTAGCAGCTAAAATATTTTTTACATCATTTAGCACAGCTGAAAAAAGAAGAAGAGATTGGATTTATACCCCGTCTTTCACTACCCAAGGGAGTCTCAGAGCGGCTTATAAACTCCTTTCCCTTCCCCTCCCCACAACAGACACCCTGTGTGAGGTAGGTGGGGCTGAGAGAGCTCTTTTGAGGACTGCTCTTGAGAGAACAGTTCTGACAGAACTATGGCTTGCCCAAGGTCATCCAGCAGGTGCAAGTGAAGGAGTGGAGAATCAAACCCAGTTCTCCCACACTTAACCACTACACCAAACTGACTCCTTTGAAAGCACCGAAGAAAAAAAAGCTTCTTATGTGCTGACTTCAGATTTGCATGACTGTTTTTTTTTAAAACATAAACCTCAAATGAAAATCCACATGGTCCACCGATGAATGGTAATTTTTAAACAACAACAATCTGGCACGTATATAAATCCTTTCCAGGTTCAGAGCACTTTAAGAGCTTGTTATGGTCTGTACAACAGCCTCATAAAGTATCTAGTATTACTATCACCATATTATCACCATAACAAGATGATGATGGAGAAGAAGAGATTGGATTTATACCCTGTCCTTCACTACCCGAAGGAGTCTCAGAGCGGCTTACAAACTCCTTTCCCTTCCCCTCCCCACAACAGACACCCTGTGAGGTAGGTGGGGCTAAGAGAGCTCTCTCGAGAACTGCTCATGAGAGAACAGCTCTGAGAGAACTGTGACAAGGAGTGTAGTGTAGTGGTTTAAAGTGCTGGAGACCCAGGTTCGAAAGACCATTCTGCCCCGAAGGCTTGCTGGGGGACCTTGGGCCGGCCAGCCTAACCTACCTCACAGGGCTGTTGGGAAAATAAAATGGAAGAGGGGAAGGGTTTTGTAAGTCATTTCTGCCCTACCCCCATGGGAAGAAAAAGTGGGGTACAAATGAGGCATATAATATAATATAAAAATAAATGAAACTTATTGCATGTGGGGGAGCTGAAACTGAGAGGCAGAGAAAAAGAGAATTGTAACTCTAGTCCTAAAAACTTCCCAATTGGCCTGGATTAACAGACAGGACTTAAAAGCCAAGAGTGTATAGCTTTCTAAGAGCAAATGGTTTTACTCACTGGGGTGACAAGGGACACAGTTTAACATACATGGATGAATGAGATAGGCAGGCCTAAGGCCACCAAGTGGTTAGTGTCAGAGGCAGAACTTCATTCCCAGCCCATTCCCTGAGCCTAGGTTTGCCAAATCCAGGCTGGGAATTCCTGGAGATTTTTTTTGGGGGGGGTCGAGACTGGAGTAATTTGGGTTTGGAGAGGAAAGGACCTCAGTGGGGTATAATTAGGGTTGCCAGATATGGGTCGGGAAATACCTGGAGAGTTTGGGGGTGGAGGGCAGGGGAGGGACCTCAGCAGGGTACAGCTGAGAGCCAGTTTGGTGTAGCGTTTAGGAGTGCGGACTCTAATCTGGGAGAACCGGGTTTGATTCCCCACTCCTCCACATGCAGCTGCTGGTGTGACCTTGGGTCAGTCACAAGTTCTTTCAGAGCTGTTCTCTGAAGGGTAGTCCTCGAAAGAGCTCTCTCAGCCCCACCTACCTCACAGGGTGTCTGTTGTGGGGAGGGGAAGGGAAAGGAGATTGTCAGCTACTCTGAGACTCCTTTGGGTAGTGAAGGGCAGGGTATAAATCCAATCTCCTCCTCTTCTTCTACATTGCCATAGAGTCCACCTTTCAAAGTGGCCATTTTCTCCAGGTCTCATTTTCTCCATAATCTCAGATCTGCAGCCATCCCCTGGAGGGTGGTAACCCTAGGTATATTGCCATAGAATTCCACAATCCAAAGCAGCCATTTTCTCCAAGGGGAATTAAACTCCGTTGTCTGGAGGTCAGTGGCCATTCAAGGAGATCTACAGGTCCTCCCTGGAGGATGGCAACCAGGTATGAGCCCCTACCACCTCACACAGCCCATCACAGCAATCACAGCTCCATGTCTTATCTGAGGAACTCTTACAATTACCCTGCAAACCATTGTGATTCTCCTACAGATTTGGATGCGGTGGGGGTGGGGGTGGGGCAAGCGGAGAGAAAGTGCAGCTTTGGCTGAGGCCACAGGGAGAATCGGGACCAATGGGAAATTTAAACCCGGAATAAGTATGCAGCGACAACTAAAGTCCTTTTTTAAAAAAAAAACCACACATCAAAAAATAACGTGTTTAAGTCTACAATTAACTGCTCAATCACGTCAATGACTGTTTTCAGACCCAACACTTCACAACATGAATCACCAGAAAAGGAGACTTTCAATCATCCCGCTTACCCTTTTGTTCTTTCAAATAATCTGCATTCTCCTTCATCCAGAGTTCGGCTTTTATTTTGGCTTCTGTTTCGTTAAGTATATACTGGGGAGAAGAGGGGGGAGAAGAAGTGTGTGTTTAGCAACTCGCAATGAGAATCGGCAAAGCAACCTCGCAGTTCGCTTCCGGAGCCACTCATCTTCTCTCCATCCCCTTTCTGCCTCCTCCGTAGGGTTGCTAGTCCCCAGGTCCCAGCGGGGGTTCCCCTCGTTTTTGTGGCTTCTGGCCGGTGGGGGGAACCCCGCCCCCAAGCAGCCACCTGAAAGTGATGTCATCATGTCAGCGACGTCACAGGTGACCCTCTGGTTTGAATACTCTACGGTAAATTTGCTGTCAAACCGTAGAGTTTTGCCCTCAGACCATAGAGTTTTGCCCTCAGACCAGAGTGTCGCCACACAACATCGATGATATTACAACAATGCTGTCCCCATCAGAAACACCCCCCAAATCCCCACCACCAGCAACAAGGTAGGGCCTGGCAGCCTTATTCCTCCGCAAGAACCACCTGGGGCTTTCAAGCAGTATCAGTGAGGGAAGAGGGAAAGA